AGAATAAGCAACGATGCTTGAAACATGGCTGAAAATATACAACTGAAATATATGAGAATAAGCAACGATGCTTGAAACATGGCTGAAAATATACAACTGAAATATATGAGAATAAGCAACGATGCTTGAAACATGGCTGAAAATATACAATTGAAATATATGAGAATAAGCAACGATGCTTGAAACATGGCTGAAAATATACAATTGAAATATATGAGAATAAGCAACGATGCTTGAAACATGGCTGAAAATATACAATTGAAATATATGAGAATAAGCAACGATGCTTGAAACATGGCTGAATATTTATAAAATATTGAAATATACTAGAATAAATCACCGTGTTTGAAACATGGCTGACCGATTATAAAATGCAGAAAATACACAACTACAATGTATGACAATAAATCACCGTGTTTGAAAAACGGCTGAAAATGCTGAAAATAAATAACTGAAATATACGAGAAAAATTCAGCGGTGCTTGAAACATCGCTCATTTTTACAAACATTCAGCCATGTTTCAGTTAACACCTCCGATTTATTCTCGTACATTTTACAAACATTCAGCCATGTTTCAGTTAACACCTCCGATTTATTCATTTCCATGGCTATTTGACCGAGCGTGACCTAGTGTTTAGCGTGCCCGAACAGCGAAGCCAAAGATTCGTAGTTCGAATTGAGTGTACTGTGAAACTTCCAGTCAAATCACACGATACGTTCAGGCAACATTAGTAGACCAAGAGTTGGTTGCGGTTGCTGTTGACTGGCTGCCTTCCCTCTAATCTATTATTTCAAAATTATAGGGACGGCTATGTCCTTTGTGTAGCTTTGCGTGAAAATTCTGTAACTAAGAAACGAACTATGGCTGTTAAAAAAAAGGGGGGGGGGACATGGAACCCTCAGTTGTGAAAGCACTGAGACGAAAAAAAAACTGTTCTAACTTTGATGGGAATTAGTATGAGAGTTGTTTTTAAAATACTGAACAGAGAGCTCGTCAGAAATGGACACAGACATTTTCTTATTTCTAAAGAAGGTTCTGGAAAAAAAGAAAGAAAGAAAGAACCTTCCTGTAACAGTTTCTTTGTTAAAGGCGCATAGCTGCCGAATGAGCGATCTTCGCTGTGCCCACAGCAAGGATGGACTTCTGAATTTTAGGGTTATAACTCGAGAGAGAGTGTTTTGTGACAGTTCTTTTCGATATCACTTCATGGAGCTGTTGTGGTTAATAATATATAAATGTTGGTAGTTTAGATTACACTTTCACACTTATTGCGTAGGGGAAGTGTTATAACTTTATTTTTTCAGCTGAGAAATAAGTTATTTGATTCTCATGAATTTCAGTTGTTTGTTTCCGATCGTATTTAATGTAACTACCATAGGGATAATGGTTGATTTATATGTTAATATATTGTCTGGATCGTTAAATTATTTAATGTAACTACCATAGGGATAATGGTTGATTTATATTATACATATATTGTCTGGATCATTAAATTTTCGCGTTGGGAATAGGACTAGATTTGAGTTTTGTGGAGAAATAAAAACGAACTTCAGAAAACAGGATGAAAACTTCACTTATAAATTTCTGGCCCCCCAGTGGCACAGCGGTATGTCTGCGGACTTACAACGCTAGAATCCGGGTTTCGATACCCGTGGTGGGCAGAGCACAGATAGCCCTTGTGTAGCTTTGTGCTTAATTACAAACAAACAAACAAACATAAATTTCTGTTGGTTTCTGCGTTCTATCGGCAAGTTAACACACATATTAAGTATATGACTAGTCGTGGCTGACGCCATTGTATGAATAACGTTTATCTTATAACTTGGTCTTGTAAAATGCAAATTCATTCTTTTTGATGAATGTTCGTTCGTTCGTTTAATGAACTTCGTGCAAAGATACTCCCTAACTTAGAAGTCAGACTACAGGGCAGGCAGCTAGTCACCACCACCCACCGCCAACTTTTGGGCTACTCTTGTACTAACGAAAAGTGGGATTGACCGTCACATTATAACGTCCTCACAGCTGAAAGGACGGGTATATTCGGAGGCGGGATTCGAACCCGCAACCTTCAGATTCCGAGTCGAGCTCCATAACCATCAGGCCATGTCAGGCTTGCTGATGAATAAGTGAAGCATCATTAGTGGACCAGATGTAACACAAGATAACCTATCCCGAAGATTAAGATCAAGGTGGAAGATTAGCGTGTGTGTCAAACGAATCACTCATATTCTTAAACATTTTGTCAAAAATTGAGAAAAAAATATCTTTTTCTGTACTTATCCTAATCGATCTGACACAATTACGTTGGATGTTGAAACGAAAATAAACATAAAATACATTTCCAACTGCTGTTAGAAACTGCCTGTTTACCTTACCGTGTAGACCAGTGGTTTCCGAGCTTCACCAAGTACTGGAACCCTTTTCCATATACATATATTCCGTCATTCTATTGTAGAATTATTCTACACGGCATAGGAGTGGCGACACTACTTGCAATGCCTTAGTGACATTGGGCATTGAGCAATTCTGTATAAACAGTCTTTGTTTGTTTTGGAGCAAAGTCACATTTGGCTATCTGCTGTAGTCACCGCAGGGAATCGAACTCCAGACTTGGGGGACTATAAACAGTCTATCCACCATTGTTGATTTTGTTTCGCGGAATCCTTCTAAACCCTTTGCGGAATCCTGTTTCGGAACCACTGATGTAGACAGTAAACCTAAATTACTAATTTATCCGAAACGTATTATATCTTATGCAACCCAACCACCAAAAACAGGACACTAAGGAGTGCTTATGAAGACAGTTTTATTAAAATAGTTTAACCGGCCACGTTTAAACTAGAGTAATCATGTTTGATTTTTTATTTCTTCCAAAGCTCTGAACGAGGTCATTAGGGTGTTTGTTTAGTAGAGATAATATAGAAAGAAAATATCAATATTTTTTGTTTGATAAGTCCGAAGTTGGGAGCAATAAATGTAAAGAAGAATACAAGACTTGTCTGATGTTTTAATTACCGAGAAGCCCTCAGAAAAATATTATTTATTTGACCAGCTATTTTCTAGGGTTAACCTGGATATTTCATTGAGGAATGCCACTCTGATCTTTAACAAATAATGCGTTATTTAGAAATTAAAACATATTACTAATTAATTCTGCTCTATGAATTGTTTCTCAGATTGTTTGTGTTTTGTTTTTTTTCGGTTTCAATAATGGCATTGTGTTTTGTTTTTTCGGTTTTAATAATGCAAAGCTCCTACTTCAATCGCTGCTACTAAATTATCAATATTTTTAAAGTAGTTTAAAGGAGTATTTAAGCAGCTTACACTGAATAATCCCACAATTTGAACCAATATTCTTAATTTCACGAGAATTTCGGTGTTTTGTCTTTTATGGAGCATTTGGTATTTCCTACCTGAACGGCACTATATATGCAACACGTGGACTAAACAGCCGGGTCAGAAACCCACAGGTTCAGACATACCGTTCCTAATTTTGACCTGCTGACCAGTAAGATGGCAACCAACCAACAGAATCAATCGAATATCAATTGAATATCGGGACTAAATGTCGCTTTTATAACACGCCAAAAGATGAAAGCACGGAGCGTGTTAAGCGGTATATTACGGGCTCGAACCTTGGACTTCTTGATAAACTAATCCCTAAAAGGATGTAATGTAGACTCCTCTCTGTCCTATGTATAATGCAAGTTGATTTTAATCTATAAAAATGATATGTGAAAATAAATAAAAACTGACTTTTTTTTTTATTTGTGACAAGGTTGTGAAATAGTACTTTCGCATTCCTCACAAGTCTAGACTAATAATTTTTGTCTTTGTTGTTGTGATAAAAGTAGCAGAGATCGTTATATCCACAGCCAACAGACTGACTTAGATGGTGTAAAACAACCTTTCGGTCGTAAAAATGAAATAAAAAACGTTTCAAACGTAATATTTACCAGGCTTGGGTCATGCATGACAGGAAGGCTCCTAATTATATACTAGGACATATATAAAAAGTGAAGAACAAAAAACGTTTTTACATGTCAAAAAAAGGTTACGAGTTCTATTACAAAACTTTATGTACTGAACACGTATGATGTGTGTGTGTGTGTGTAAAATGGATAAACTAGTATAGTACAAATGCTGAAACATATACAAATAAAAATACAGAAATGTCATGTTGGCAGGTATTCGAATATACACCTGGTACTAGAATATAAACATATCAGTCGTCATTAGAATAAAACGGCCCATTCAAGCGATGGAGTACATTTATTCATTTTTTATAATCTGATAACGTATGTTGACACGCAAGCATGTATATAATTTACTTCACTTCCTTTGCCAATATCATTTCGTGCTATTAAACTAAAGTTCTAAAAACTCTTTCATATCATCTTACGGTATATCTAAGGACTGAAGGGTATTCGTTAATAATGTATGTTTATTACAGGACAGATCACTTTTATACATATCACGCAACAGCAACAATAGCGTCTTGGAGCAGTCATGAATTATATAGTCATGGCAAACAAACAAGAAACGGAGACTCTATCAACGACAACAAAAAATGATATAACAAATCCCTATGACTCTCTTATACTAAACTATGCTAAACTATTCTGACTGTAAATCTTGTGACAAAGGTGGAAGAAAACAACATCACTATCCTACTCTTGTTACTTCTGTAATAAGAGATGATTGGTAGAATATTAACAACACCTAACTGATGATTGGTAGAATATTAACAACACCTAACTGATGATTGGTACAATATCACCAACACCTAACTGATGATTGGTAGAATATTAACAAAACCTAACTGATGATTGGTAGAATATTAACAAAACCTAACTGATGATTGGTAGAATATCACCAACACCTAACTGATGATTGGTCCAATATTAACAACACCTAACTGATGATTGGTACAATATCACCAACACCTAACTGATGATTGGTACAATATTACCAACATTTAACTGATGATTGATACAATATTAACAACACCTAACTGATGATTGGTACAATATCACCAACACCTAACTGATGATTGGTCCAATATCACCAACACCTAACTGATGATTGGTACAATATTACCAACACCTAACTGATGATTGGTCCAATATTACCAACACCTAACTGATGAATCAATGCATTTTAATATTTATTAGTTTTTGTTCTATAATTTTGCATACCTCTAATTAGGACGATTTATTAATAGCTATATTAATTATACACACAGATCTCACATGAGCTAACTGCTAAGATAATCCACCCCAAATTAATACATACAGATCTCACATGAGCTAAGACTTTTTTGGAAGCTGGTAATACACACACACACACACACATATATATATCCTAATTACACGTACTAACACCGATCTACAGCATTAATTTGAATTTTTTCCAAATTCACCTCACCAAAATATTATCGTCTAATTCCCTCCACTCCTGATATAAAATCACAAGATACCGTTTACGAAAGGGAAATACTTGGTGGTGATGGTGGATATGAACATAAAACAAGAAAAAAAGCCTGTTCTGCCGCACGATCCTCTAAACACGTTGGCTGCACATCGTTTAGGGTTAATAAATTTTCTTTTGATCACATTTTCTTAAGATTTACAAACGACCTCTACACAAGCTGACGTTTGTACTTAACGAGCTGTTTTTAATATAAATATGATGGTTGGACATCCACCAATGAACGTGCTGGTGACACTGAACACGTGCTCTAGCACGTCTTGCTTGCACGTGATGAAGACAAACATACGAATAAAATCAACCTAACTCGCGTTACATTTTCTTTTTTCTACACAAAACTCTTAAAGTAACGCGAACTTTAAAATCGTAGTTTTTAATCCATAAAGTAGGTTATCTTACGTTCACGAGCTTCCCGGTATACTTAAAAAAGAAGAAGAACAACAACAACGACACCTTCCAAAATTTGAAACCAACGATGTAAGTATGCTCTTATTAACAAGACTACAGACATTTTTTTTGTTACCACTGGAGCTATCGTCTTCACTCTTCTATACACTATTGATCTTCATCCTACCGGCAAAAAGTTGGAACTTTTTCAAATAGGCCCGAATTCTTAATATTCCAAGAAATGCGACAATCCTTTAGTTCGGTGGTTTGATACTTCCCACTCTCGTCGGACGAGCATATCTCTCGTCATAATAATCAGGTAATTACATCTCGATATTTGTTAATTAAAGAGAGAAATGACGATTTGGTTACTTTAAATACAAGCTCAAGATAAAATGATGTCTTTAGTGTACATCTAATTCACGCAAGTTCTAAGCCTAATGTTGCAAAATATCCGAGTTTTAATTAAGTGATAAAAGAACGTTATAATTTGTTGTGCAAAAATTGAAATTTCGATTTTTTTCGACCAGGAAACCTAACCCTGAGATTTTATATATAGTCTGGTTTATGACAAAATTACACTTTCGTTAGTTCTACATACAGTACAACCGGGGCAGCTGTATATTACCCCTATCCCATTTGCCCACCTGTTTCCCCTCCCCGAAACACGTTCTTGGTAACGTCATTATTTATTTCGTTTGAATTTCTCGCAAAGCTACACGAGGGCTATCTGCGCTAGCCGTCCCTAATTTAGCAGTGACAGACTAGATGGAAGGTAATTAGTCAACACTACCCACCGCCAACTCTTGGGCTACTCTTTTACCAACGAACAGTGAGATTGACTGTGGCATATTACAACGGCTGAAAGGATGACGGGACCTCTGATTGCGAGTCGAGTTTCCTAAACACCAGGCCATACCAGTTCCATGGTCGAAGATAGAAAACAACAACAACTATAGATAACTAGCTGGAGTACCCGTCCCCTGGAATGAAGTTATGTAAATTCGTGATTAATGAAAGGTTATCTTAGGACATGAAAAGTTGCTTCCCTTATATGTAATTGTAAAAAACGCAAAAACGCCCATAAAAACTGGAAAACACAAAATGTAAACCCCAAGTTTGCATGTATCTCCTCATGGACCTAATGAACCTCCATACTAATTTTGGTGAAGATCCATCCACACCCTGCGAAGTAGTTACAAGGATATACAACAGACAGTACTATTATATTTATATAGACAATAGACAGTACTATTATATTTATATATACAACACACAGTACTATTATATTTATATATAGACAACACATAGTACTATTATATTTATATATAGACAACACATAGTACTATTATATTTATATATAGACAACACATAGTGATATTACATTT